TCGGCCTCAAAAATCAAGCCGCAGCTGAGGCCGGCCGCGGCCAGCCGCCTTTTTGCACAGCCTTGGATATAAGTCAAAAACACATCAAAAAAGTCAACGTAGAGGGTGCAAATTAGGTTCTCTTGTCTAGCTACCTTTTTCCGAAACTCGGTTCACATCGAGGTTTTTAAACTTTTTTTTGTTAAAATGCACAATAATGGGGATGTAATTGATTCGAAAAATCCCTGAGCGGAAAAATGCGATTTTTAAAACAGTGAAATTTGGAAAAAAAATTGAAATTAATTTTTCCAGATTCAAAGAGTCTAGACTTTTTTGTTGGTTTTCCGAAATAATGATCAGTTTGTTGAAGGTTATGAAAAAGACCGCATCATTTTTTCAGCAAAATAAATCATTGAAAAATTTCAAAGTATGAAAAATGCCTTGAAAATACTAAATATAGATTTTCTGCTGAAAATGCGAAAATTCCACTAATTGAAAAAAGCGCTGAAACAGTGAAATTTTAGATTTTTTTCACTTCCAAAAAGTCTATAACTTTTCCGGTAACCTTCAAAAAATGATAACTTTGGTAATTAAAAAAGTCGAAAATCAGGAAAAGAAGGTAAACCATCTTTTAAGTAAATTTTTTTCGAAACATTTTTATATTTGTAAACTACCAAAAACAGTGAAGTTCGGAAAAAAATTATAGTTTCAAAAAGTCTAAAACTCTTTCAAGAACTTCTGAAAACTACTGATAAGCCATAGGAAAATGTAAAAAAAGAAAAAGAAGTACTTGAAAATTAGATTCCACAAAAGTTCCCAAAATTAGTTTAAAAAAAAGAAAGATAATAATTTTTTCCTCTGGTCAGAAAAGAATAGGCCAAAAAAGGAAAAAAAAGAAAATGGAGTCCAGAAAAAAGGGCTCATTGACTAATAGGTCCACTTGACTTTTTAAGTAGAGAGTCAGTCTCAAGTGGAACAAAAAGATAGGAATTTTGGAAAGAAAAGGGGAGAAAATTTGAAAATTTTGAAAAAAAAACATTTGGCTGAATTTGTACTGAAATCAAAATTAGGAGGAGTTTTTAGTTCAAATTCAGCACCTTAAAATTGGGTGAAACTAGAAAATGACAAATTGAAACAGGATGAAATTTTGCGAAATTGGAAATTTTTTTTTCAAAAACTAGAAATTTTGGTAATTTCTAGCAATATAAAATAGGGAAAAACTCAACAATTGAAGTTTCAAAATTCTGAAAAAATCCAAAAACTCAGAACTATTTTTTTTGGTTATCCAATCCTTCATTTATTTATTTGCACCCCAAAACCAAAAACACTCATCTCCAAGCAAAAAAAAAACAAGAAATGTTCAAATTTCAATTCTCAATTTTCCAGGAAAAAAAGTGTGTGTGTATCGAATTTCCGGTCCCGAGCTTGTTTTTTAGTGCTATGGACACCAAAAAAAAATCTTTGCTCGAAAATGTTTTTCAGTTTCCCCTGTTCTAGGAATTTTCCATAAAAAGGGGACTTTTGCTAGTTCGTCTTCTAGGCCACCACGTTGAAATGACCACCAGGGATGTGTTAGGCTGTTTCTAGGCCATTTTAACGTAGTGGACTAGAAAACTCCGACTTGCAAAAGTTAGGCCACCATGACAAAATTACCTAGAAATTACCTAAAATGATGTTGGTTTGTTTTCTAGGTGATTTTAATGTGGTGGTCTAACTTTTGCAAGTTGGGCTTTCTATGCCACCACTTTCAAATGGCCTAGACATGACCTAACATGACCATGGTGGTGTTTTTAGGCCATTTGAACGTGGTGGCCTAGAAAACTCAACTTTAAAAAATTAGGCGGTCACGGAAGAATAACCTAGAAACACGACAACAAATTAATTTTTTTTTAATTCGAACAAATCCAGAAAATGAAACAGTATTTTTTTACGATTTTCCTTTTTTGCATTTTTTGGATCTCAAAATATTGTTTCCGAAACATCACAAACTCCAACATGACCATTCGAAGCTCCGCCCCGTTTTTCGGAATTTCTAAAAATAGAAAAAGAAGAAATTCAACCACCCCCAAAACGAGGAACTAATATAAGAAGTTCCGAAAAAAAACTTCTCAAATTCTAATAGGAAATTCTTGAAGAAGAAGAAGAAAATTAAATAATTCATGAATTTTGTTCCCAAAATTTTTTTCGAATTTTCTAGAAGAACAAGACAATTATTTTTCGAAAGAAAATTAGAAAATCCCAAAAATCTCGCTTTTCCTTTTTTGTGCAAAGAAGAGGCTTGAAAGGAAAACAGGAAACCGAAAAATGCCATATATGGTGAAATTCATATACATAGAGTCAAATTGGAAATAATAAAAAATTTTATGACATGTTTTTTTGGAGATTTTTTGAGGGTCTAGACATGGATACTACTTGAGTAAATTGGAAAATTTTAGTGAGGTACTTTTTGGTTGTTTGAGATTTTGGGGTGAACAATATTCAAATTTATAGAATTGGCAAAACTTATTGTCAAATTAAAAAAAACTGGGACCTGAGAATTTGAAAACTTTTGCTTTTTTTGATTTACGAAAAAGCGCGGCAAAAACGTAATATTTCAGATTTTTGGCTCGTTTGAGCTACTTTCGCGTTTAAGATTAGTTTTTTTTGGTGAAAAATAGATTCTAGAGATGCTAGCGATCATTGTTATACCAAGAAATCAAAATTTTGTTCAGAAAATCCCACTAAATTCACATAAATAAATTTGTTATCTACAGTATCCGTTTTCGCTCCGCCCCTTCGTAAATCGACACGAGCCTCGTCTCCGAGATTTTCAGGTGTCACTTTTTTTAATCCGACAATACACATAGAATAATTTAAAGATATGAAAATATAATTAGAGGACATGAAACAGTAATGTAATCTTAAATTAATCCTAAAAACAGTAATCTTAAAAATTGGAATCAAAAATCTC